AGGACCCCAGGATCACGACCTGAGCTGAGGCAGATGCTGAACGACTGAGCCACCCAGGCGTCCCTGAAGAATAGTTTTTTAGTTCAAAAACGTTTATGCTGCTGCTTTTAACCTGCCCTTTTTCCCTAATATATTTGCAGATGTGTCTCCCCCATTTTCATCGGCTGTAGGATGAAGGCTTCCCCATGTCAGTATTTTAAGCTACTTTCTTAGTCTCTTGTGTCCGGATATAGCACAATGATATGATTCATTTCTTCTGTTATTTAACATTTATTTATACTTTCTAAATACTCTACATAGTGCATCTTCTTATGTATCTTTAATTATTTCATTAGGATAGATTCCTGTAGTTGGATTTACTGGATTAATACTACTTTTTCACCTTCTTTGTAGAATGCCACATGACGTTCTAGAAAGCCTGAGTTGCTCTGCACCTCCCCCGCCGAGTGCAGCTATGCCTCGTCTCACTCATCGCTTTTTTGGTTTTTTTGAAAAGCAGAGAACACCTACATTAAATGGTGTATTAAAGTCCTCTGGACTAAGTTCTGCGTGCGCGTAGTGGGAGCCGTGAGTAGCCGAGGGAGCCAAGCGTGATTTCCTGTTCTTCTGGAAGTAGCTTCTGTGTGCTTTCCCAGGCATCCTGGGGGCACGCAGATCTCCTCTGCAGCCCTGTTAACACGGGCCATCCATTCTGTGCCTTTTGTCTTGTGCGGACTGTGCCTCTACTCTTGGGACACTTCCGTGCACGGGAGGGCAGGGGTGTCTCGTTCTTCTCATCAGCACGTGGCATTCCGTGTGGACACACACACCGTGACCAGCAGGTTGCCCCGGCAGACTCCTAGGTGGTTTTCAGCCTCGTGTCTGTACAAACAGGCTACAGCGAGCTGTCTGTCCATCTTCAGAATCTGGTTCTTGCACTTGCTTAGACGTACTTCCCAAATCTGAAATGATTTCCTAAAATCCCACCACATCTCACAGCGCAGGTGCACATGGGGCACAGCACACACATGCATTGTACGACCCGGGGGTTCACACCAATCCTTCCACCTCCATTCTCCCCTTCCAGGACTCCCACAAGCCTCCCTCCCGTCCTCCGCCACGGGGCCCCGGGCTCCAGTACTGGCCCACTCGGTCACGTCTTTGCTCTGTCCTGTCGTTGCCTCTGAAACAGTTTTGCAGTAGCCTGGCTCAGCCCCTGTCAGTCAACCCACTGAACGTCGTGTGGGATCTGAAGGACGTCCGGGGCTCGTGGGTTCAGCCTGTGTCATGTTTGAGGCCCATCCCTTCCCAAGTGCACTAACTGCCCTTGACATAGGTCCAGTTGGTGTGACCACAAAGACAGTCCAAGGCAGAGTAGGAGTTGAGGGCGGTGAGGGGGGGTCAGTTTCAATATCTGGAGAGTAACTTACTCTTACAAGTCAAAGTGGCAGGAACAAGGAGCATCAGAAGAACCGCGGCCTCCTGTACCCTCTGCCCGCTCCTCCCAGGGCTCCCGGGCACCACCACCACCTCGTGTTTCCGCGTGTCTTTGCTCTGTCTCTCTGTCATGATAAGCAAATGTTCGCGTGCTTCCTGATTTTCTTTTCTGGTTTATTATTAATATGAACATTAGAATTTTGCCTCTTTTAAAAATCAGTTGGTATTTTCACTTTGAATTAAATTCTTAGATTGTTACAGGGGAAGATGCGTTTGTTTACAATACTGAATCTTCATGGTCCAAACACCTCCATAGCTGTCCCCCCTTTCCCACGTGATAGGTAGACGGCAAACACCCGACTGGATGACGGGCACAGGGAGGTTAATCAGATTGAACCCCAGATTTAGAAGCTCCCGTGGCGATGCTCGCAGGTCCCTTCCCTCCTCGGGAGCTTGTATCACTTTACTGTCGGTCGATAAACCTTGCTTTGCTGCCACCAAAAAACCCCCAAAAAACAAAAAAAATCTTGGTACTGTTTTGTTCATATGGATTCAGTATGTTATTTAAGTTCTAAACGGTTCTAGGATTTTTTATTAATGCCATTGCAGGGGCCTTTCTGTTGGGTGTTTGTCATTTGTCTACAGGAGAGGAGTGTTTTTATGTTAGATTTGTCACCTGCCGTCCTGCCAGATTCTCTTTGCGCTTTCAGCTGTGCGGCCCTGTCTACAAGTAGTAATAAGAATTTTTGTTTTCGCCAGCGTGTGGCGGGGGGGGGGGGTTCTAAAATAAAACAGCTGCTGCTCATTATAAGTCATCGCCGTATGTAGTGATGGCGCATCCCCCTTCTTGTTTTGAGAAATTTCGCTCTTGAAAAGTGTGTGCAGTGACTACTCGGGAACAGTGAATCCTTTACCTGGATTGAGTTACAGACTTCGCCAGACACCACCCCTGCCGTCCCTGCCGCGCACCCTCCCGGGCTCCGTGACCTTCAAACGCTCCTGATCACAGAGCCCTCGCAGACCCCAGAAAGGACCTTGCTGCAGTGGGTGGTGGTGCTCAGAGGCCAGAGGGGCTCCCGCTGGGCCGTGGCGGGTCCGCGCAGGGTCTGGAGCTTTCCTGCTCCCGCCCCGCCTGAGGGTGGTTTTTGTTCCTGTTCAGAGCTCCGAGCCCCGCAGCCCAACAGGTCCTTGTCTGACTCACTTAGCAGCCCGGTGAGAAGCTGCCCTACGCGGATCCGGCCCGCACAGCCTTTACGCCCGGGATGCCCCAGTGCACGCGGATGGTCGCTGCGCCCTGCCTTCCCCACGGTGACCCCCAAACCCACCTTCGCAGAGGTTCTCAGGCTCGCATCTCCCCTGAGGGGGCCGGCGCCCCGGCTCCGCTGTGTGTCTGTCCTGCTGAGGCCTCTGCTGTCGCTGGGCGGTGGAGACGCTGGGTGGAGGCGGCGGGCGCTGGAGCTGGGAGAACCTGATCGGAGCGGGGGACGCGGGCCGCCAGCTCGCACGCGTGCAGCCCGTGCGATGGCGTGAGGAAGGCGTCAGGACAGTGGGGCTGTGGGGTCTGCGCTGGGAACACGAGGTGAACCCGGGGTGCGGGTGTGGGGCTGCTCTCACAGGGCCTCCCGGGGGGTGTGGTGGCTGTTCCCTCGCGGCACCCCGCGGCTCACTGACTCACTGCAGAGCCCTCAGTCACCCCGCCGTGACCGTGCTCGTGGCGGGGCAGGGAAGAGCAGGGCTCTCATTTCCAGCAGTTCTTAGTTTCCTGGACGTTTGTTCTGGAATCTTCCCTCCGTTGGAGTTTCTCTGCCACACGCTTCGTCCGTCTTCCCATGTTGTTCCTCAGCCGGAGCTCACCGTCCTTCCCTCGGATGACGGTCCTTGGCTGGTGTCCAGTTTCTGTGGTTTGAAGCTGTGCAACGACGTCATCTAGTTTCATCTGACCCTCAGTGTCATCGCTGACACCCCCGCTGTCTTTGCCTTTCCCTGTCACGGGTGCGAGGACATCAACGTTCCATCCTGACTCTTTTTTTTCCTAAAAAGATCTTTGAGGAGCAGTATTTCCGGAGATCTAGACTTCACGTTTCTATCACTATTGCTCTCCGGTCTTCTCTTTCTTCTCTTTGCGTCTGAGAGACTCCGATCTCTCAGAGCCTGAGCGATCCGGGGAGAGCAAGTGGCGAACAGAGGGCTTCAGCGCGGCCGGGGTCCGCAGCAGGTGGTGGGAGGAGCGTGGATGCCCTGTCTGGGCCACGGCATCTGCTGCCTGGTGAAGCTTCTGGAGGCTGGGGAGAGATACTCAGTCCCCTGATCTCATCAGCCCATGCCAGGCAGGAGTTCCTGACGGGGGTTTTCCAGGGGCAGAAGCAAAAAGGCTTTGCTGTTTCAGATGTGAAAATACATGGGCCTGGTGTGAGAAATACAGTACTCTTTTCTGACAGGGTCATGTTAGGGCCCAGGTTCAGAGGTTGCCTCTGTCTCCTGTGTGGCCTTGTATAGTTCTTTGCTGGTAGGGCCACTGTGCCCTCCAAGGCTGCCCGGGACCCCACCTGCCCTCCTCTCTCTCTGAATCACCCCTTTGTCCTGTGGCTCAATGAAAAGGAGGAGGGAGAGGCCACGCTTCTCCTGCAAGGCCCAGTCCGCACAGGGGAGTGCACAGTCCTCCATGGAATGGTGGGCGGTAGTGTTTTGAGCCAGAGAGCTGTGTGCTCCGTGAGGAAATGTGTTCCCGGGTAAGAAAAAAGTAGATATCGGAATACGATTATCAGTCTTTCCCACATATGTTAAAACAATACGGCTTTGGCTACATTTCTCTGTTGGCATGTATTTATTTCTCAGCGACTTGGTCTGAATATGGTATGAGTAATACAGGAAGAAGTCCTGACCTCCGGTCACATGCAGAACTGACCTGTAAGAGTCCAGCCGACACGGAGGCCCCCCCGCCCCGCCCCACTTCGCCACGAGTGAGAACATAACCCACTGATAGAGGGCTGGGGGGACGGGAAGAAAGCCGGCCCAGGAGCGGTACGGCCATCAGTTAATTGGGGTTTTTTCTTTCCCTCCCGCACACCTGTTGCTGGAGAAGCCTGTAGCCTTCTGCCGACAGGCAAAGACGTAAAAATGCTTCCAGGAAAGCTGCTTCCCCTTAGCCAAAACTGGCCAAAGAGTGGTTTGCAACAGAAAATCTTTTTGACGATGCCCTCCTCCAGGCACGTACCAGCTGGAAAGCTGCTCAGCAGGGCTGCGAGGGACCCTCCATCCCCTCCTGCCCCCGTCTTCAGAAACGGGTGGCCCTCTGATCCCATGCCCGCGGGGGTAAGTGCCGAGCTCATCTTGCATCCGTCTCTGGGCAGAAGGAGGTGGGACCCGGGCTCCCCCACCTGATGGTGTCAGCAGAGCAAGGCCGGAAGCCGACCTCTCACGGGGTGCCCGGAAGCAGGCAGCGCTCGGACCCTACAAGCCCCGGCGGGGAGCTGAGCCTCACGGCACCTGACGGCAGGGAGAGTTAACCACAGGGCGCAGGCCAGCCGGATGGGTCCACCCCGTGCTTTCCGCACCGGGGCCGCGGGACCTGCAGTGAGCCTCCCCATGACGAGGTCCCCGGCCGCATCTGGGCGGAGGGACTGCCATCTGGTCTGGAGGCTCCCAAAGTAGCACTCCAAGTGCTCAGGGTCTGGCTGAAGATACTTAGCAGACTGAGAACCACGGTAGTTCCAACGGCATCGAGAAAAGATGGCAGACTTCCACACTGAAGGGACCCCGATGTTGGAATTAGTTGGCAAAGATTTTAAAGCAGTCATCATAAAATTGCTTTGTGAATTGTTTTGAAACAAACAAAAGAATGAAACCGAAGCGAGAAGAACCAAATGGAAATTACAGTGAAAAAGTGTACTGAGCTTAACTCAGTTGAGCGCTTGGCCGTGGAATGGGGAACTCAGAGGCTCCTGAGGAAGCCCAGGGCCTGGAGGGGACGTTCGCTGCTAAGTGCGGACTGTGTACCTGAGGGTCTCAGAGATGCGGCCGCCGGGAAGGTCACGCGGTGGCCCCCGGCGGGGAGCCAGAAAGACAGGTGTTAAGGTGGGGGCAGGCTCGCAGCCGTTAGTATCTATTGTATTTTAAACTCTGACCTGTAGAAATGAGACCTTCAGCAAGATGGGGGCTGACCAGAATGCCACGTATTCCCTTGACGAGTTCTGCTTGTCACTCGTCCGTGATGGAAATTATCCCACGGGTCTGTTCTAGGGGAGAAAGCAGTTACTATGTGTCGCCTCGAGGAGAGACGTCCGCTCTGAGTATGGAGAACACGGGACAGGGGCATGTCCCTTAGCTGTCGGTGGGGAAGCAAGGTGTGGGACTCCTTGCTCGGCTCCCTCAAGTGTGGCCAGCTGCTGGAGCGGATGGAATCACGTCCTGGCTCCTGGGGCTCTCTGGGCGTGAAGCAGAGACAGAGATGACATTCTCCACTCTCCACCACGAGCTGGTTTCTTTGTGTCCCCGGGGGCCTTGCCCTTGCTTTTGCCAAGTGAGTAAGCTGTGCTCTGGGAAGGGACAAGTGTGGACAGCTCCTGCAATACTCTAATCTGATCATATGGTAAAAAAGTAAGTAAAAAGGATGCACCAGGGCCAGAGCAATAAAATAGTAAGGGGAGGACAGGACACAGGTCGGGGAACCAAGTTGTATTTTACAATCATAAGAAGGGACACCCAGGGCAGTCCTGAGCAAGGACGAATATTTTGCCATACAAATTTAGGAGTTTTTCTTTCTTTCTTTTTTTTTTTTTTTTAAAGAGAGGCAGCAAATTTTGTTAGGTATTTTTTTCTTTTTGACAGTTTCAAAAAGAATTTTCTTTGTTATCAACAAGATGCTGACAATTTAGTAGCTCATTATTTCCTTAAATTATTCTATAATAATACTAGCAAAGTTATTTGCGTTGAAATCATTGGGTTGCTCAGAATATTCCCTTTAGCTTGTCTTTTTTTGCCAAGGATGCCTCTCATTATTGATGAATTACTCATTTTAATGGGGTTTACTAGTGTTTACAGGGCTGTAATGTGCAGGGATTGGAAGAAAGCCTGATGGAAGAAAAGCTCAATAACTTCAAATATGTGAATAATATTTTGGATATTTTTTCCAAATAAAATATATTAACATAGAATTTATTTTATCTGTTTTGTTGCGGTTATTTGGAAATGACAGTGTCTGCTCACTGACTGGTTACACTCATTTTTCCTCCGTGTTTGGACAGTCTGTTGGGGATGGTTTAAAAGCCCGTACGGCAGAATCTGAGTCAGCCCCTGCAGCGCCGTCCTCCGCAGCGGCTCCTCCCGCGGGGCCCCCGTCCAGGCCCTCTCTCCGTTGAGTGTCTTCCATGCGCTGCGCTGTGGGACTTTCTGGTGCCCTGTGGGGGCGGGTGCTGTGACTTCCCCATGGTGAGCACTCGGAGGCGCAGCTCGTCCTGAACCGGCCCAACTCCAGGACACACGGACAGCTGTTACCTAACGGACAGAGGAGTCATTGAAAATCTATAGTAGCCATATTAAAAAAGTTAAAAAAAAAAGATGAAATGAATTTTAGTTTAATATATTTATTTTGAAACTATCTAAAATATTACTCACATATTAAAATTGAGCTGTTTTACGTTCTTTGCTTTTTGCAATAAGTCCTTGCGGTCCCGTGTGTGTTCTGTGCTTTTTCCGTGGTGCGTTCAGACCACACCGGTGTCCAGCGCGGGGCAGACCGTGTCCGGGCGGGGGCCCGGGCCTCCCTGGGAGGCGCCCGTGAAACAGGTGGTGGCCGTGATAGTGTTTCCGTTCAGAGGTTTATCGGCTGGGGTTTTATGTCATGGTTGTCTGCAGACTCTCGTCCTACTCTGAGCTCTGTCCCGACCCTTCTGCGGCGACGTCCCTCTGCTTCTCGCACGTTCCGTCCGGGCCCCACAGCGGCCCCGCTCTCGCCGCCGCCTGCTTCCCTGGGCCGCGCTCTCTTCTGGTCAGGACGGTTTTCCCAGAAGCGTATTTGGACACGATGACGCGTTCTTGGGGAGTGAGAACAGCGCGTGTTCCAGAGGAGAGCGTGATCGGGGTACCAGCCGCTTGCGCACCCGTCCTTCGAGGACGCTGCCGTTTCGAGGTGTTCCCTCCGCTCAGGGCTGGGCTTGTCTTTTGCAGAGTCTCATCTGCTCCGAGTGCGGGGATGAGTTCGCCCTGCAGAGCCAGCTGGCCACGCACATGGAGGAGCACCGGCAGGAGCTGGCCGGCGGCCGGCCGCACGCCTGCAAGGCCTGCGGGAAGGACTTCGAGACGCCCTCCCAGCTGAAGGAGCACGCGAAGACGCACTACAAGATCAGGTGCGAGCCTCTGCCGGGGCTTGCCGTGTTAACGGCGGGTGCGCTGGCCTGCGGTGGCTTCAGTACGCCGTGTGCTCCAGAAAGAGCAGCGCAGGGGCGCCTGGGGGGCTCACTGGGTTGAGCCTCTGCCTTCGGCTCAGGTCATGGTCCCAGGGTCCTGGGATCGAGCTCCGCATCGGGCTCTTTGCTCAGCGGGGAGCCTGCTTCCCCCTCTCTCTCTGCCTGCTTGTGATCTTTCTCTCTCTGTCAAATAATAAACAAATAACCTTTAAAAAAAAAGATAGGATAGAGTTGCCATATGCCACACATTTAAAAAAAAAAAGCAGTAGCAGCTCAGCGGCGGCCGGTCCCGCGTGGTGTCGGGACAGCTGTTCGGACGCGCAGGCCTGGGGCGCGGAGGAAGCTCAGGCTTGCAAAGCGTCAGGCTACCGGAGCAGAACTCTCTAGCAGTAGGACTCTCTAGCACAGTGTTGAAGGCTGTAGGCCGAGGTGCTGGCCGAACGTTTCCCCAGGTAAGTCATGAGCTGTGAGAAGCAGGTCCACGGGGCCGGGGCAGCCCGTTTAACAAACTGGTGTGTCTCCACTCCCTGTTTAGAAGCTCTGCGTCCCCGACGCTGCGCTTAGTGTGTCCACGAATGTGTGTGAGGAAAACGGGGTCTCTGCAGGCAGCGCTGTCAGACCAGGGGACTTTGTGTCCCCACTTTGTGGGTGAGAAGCTCTAGGTACAGGACTGAGTCGCTTTCCCACGGTTTTACAGCTCGGAGGTTTCAAGCTTCAGGATTTAGACCCTAATTGCCTTGTTTTCGATCTCATGATTTGAACAAGCGTGACCATGTTTAAATACATACGTGCACTTATTTCTAGTAGAACTTAATGTGTCTTCCTGAGTTTCATATTTGGTTTATTCCTGATTATATATTTTTATCAAAACTTCATTTTCTTAATGAAACAGAAGGCGAAGTGCCTTCTGGCCCGGGTGCACCCTTGAGTGGACGGCTGTGTCCGCTGTCGCCTGTGGACGAGCCTGTGCGCCGTGCGCCCCTGAACGGCAGCCACAAGCACGGCGGCGGCTTCCACGCCAGCTAATGACGCGCACAGACCCGGGAAGACTCTGTAGGATTCGTTTACCCTGCAAGGCGCTTGTTAGCAGCGTGGACCGTGCCCCCTGTGGGCCCAGCCTGCCTCCCCCTGCCCCACTTTGCCCGCCCTCGGCTAGCGGGGCCCAGACGTGCTGCGAGTGCTCCCGCACACTGGGTTCCTACCTGGGTGGAGTTTGAGCACAGCGGGTTGGGTGTGTGTCTGAGGGTTTTGGAGAGATGATGAATGGCGTCTAGGTGGTCAGCATGCAGCCGGCCCCGCTGGCTTCCGGCCCTTCTGAGCTGGAGGGATGGGCCAGGCACACAGCCTCGTCCTCACATCATGCTGGTTTCTCAGAGAGAGAAGTCAGTGGAAAGGTTTCAGGGAGTGCTCGTGCGGAGAGGGACGCAGAAGTGGATTGCCCCGGGGCAGTGCCAGGAGGGCGGGCAGGCTGGTGAGCGGGCTGTGTTAGGCAGGCCGTGCTGAGGGGGGTGTCCGAAGGGAGGAGGGCCCGGAGGGAGGAAGGGGACTGCAGCAGAGGCAGAGCCATTGGCACAACCCCTCTGCAGTGAGTTTTCTCTGCATTTGAAAGCAGAAAGGAGGCTGGCGCTGGGGAGCCCGCTGCAGAGGGGAGCTTGCTGGCACCGGTGTGAAGAAGGCAGGGCCCCGGGGCTGAGGGCCTCAGGAGGCCATCCTGGGAATGAGGGCTGATCCCAAGGCTAGTGGGAAGCCTGTCCCAGCTTCCCCTGTGGCGTGGCTGCTGGGGGTGGCGGTGGGGCAGGGAGGCTGGTGTACCGTCACAGCCGGCAGTGGTGGTCTGACGATTAGAGAGCGGGCGAGGCCTGAGCGTCTCCGGTGGTGTTTTGAGTGGAATCAGAAGCTTTTGAAGATGGACTTGAAGCCAGGGGTGAGAGAGAGAGAGAATCTGGGCGACTCCTGAGGTTTAAGCTTGCCCAACTGGGAGCTGCTGTTTTCCGCTCTGGGAGAGCAGCAGGTTGGGGAGGAACAGAGCCCTGTTTGGTTCCCACGAGCTCGTAGCCCCCAGGGAGCGGAGTGCAGAGCCGTCAGGCGGAGCGGGGGAATGCGTAGGGCTTGTGTCAGGGTTGCCAGAGGGAGGACTTTGAGATCGTCGGCCTGCGGGGGGTGGTGAGAGCAGGGAGGCCGGAGGAGGACGCGAGACACGGCAGGTGGGGACGCACGCACACACGTCTTACATCTGAGGACCGCAGGTAGAGCTGTGTCCAGAAGGGACGGTCTCACCTCTCCCCTGCAAGAAAACAAAGTTTCTCTCCCCTTAGTTGGGGGAACATGAGTTTTATGGTACCGAACACAGAGTGACTGCACGTCTGAGTTTCTGTGTCTGCGGAGACGCACACTCCTGTGGGGCGGATGTCTCCTAGCCCGTGTTCTCACCGCCGGTCAGCCACACGTGCTGACTGCATTTTAATTTTGAGCTTGTAACACAGAGGAGACGACTTCATGAATGTTTTCCTCCCGTGTCATACCAGGGTATCGAGTACAAGGTCTTATAATCGGAACATCGACAGGAGTGGCTTCACATACTCATGCCCACACTGTGGAAAGACGTTTCAAAAGCCCAGTCAGTTAACTCGGCATATTAGGATACACACAGGTATGAAATACGTTCACTTTGGGGCCATTTACGCCACGGCTTAGAGGAGAGAACATGTGCCTCCGAGCCGGCTAGACCTGGGAGGTCGGGCTGCCGCTTCTGTCCTTTGCTTGGTGACCTTGGAGCGGGCGGTCGCATGCGGGGGTCCGCAGCATGGGCGAGCTCTGTCCGCACAGGTGGGTTTGGGGTCTTGGGTTTGGGGGCAATGTATTTCCCCTTTAATCCATCAGGTATTCAGACATGTGGAATTATATTTTGAGCGTGTTTCTCCCTCTCCAGGTGAAAGGCCGTTTAAATGTAGTGAGTGTGGGAAGGCTTTTAACCAGAAGGGGGCCCTGCAGACGCACATGGTCAAGCATACAGGTGAAAAACCCCACGCCTGTGCCTTCTGTCCTGCTGCCTTTTCTCAAAAAGGGAATCTCCAGTCCCACGTGCAGAGAGTCCACTCTGAGGTAAACGTCGCTCTCGGGTCTGTGGTGCTCCCGGGTGCGGTAGACGGCTCCGGGGTGCATGCGGGAGCCCGGGGTTTTGAAATGCAGATTTACGGTTTGTGCAGAGCAGACTTTGTGTCAAACAAGAAGCAGACACGTATCTCTCTCTAGACACCTTCTCCGGCTTACCAGGGGGAGAGCTATAGAATGTTACCTTCTCGTGGTCTTACGGATGCTGCTACGGCTTTGACAAAGGTTTAGAAATGATCACGCTGCCCTTGTCAGTTACCAGCCATCGGTCCGGTAACACCTCATCCCTTTAGCAGACGTGGAACGCAGACACTGTCAGGTCTGAGAAACTGAGACCAGAAATAAATTGAGGGAAAAAGAGTATGTTTCCTCTTCCTGTTACTATCGCTAAACTCACCGATGGCCTCATAGACGTCTTTTATCAGCCAGAGCGCTGCTCTGCGTACTTCCCTCGGCACCAGCTCCCGCGGTGACACCGACGTTTGCTGTCCCTTGTTGTCTGCAGAATGTACTGATTTCTAGAACGTCTGCAAGTATTTCTCTTAGGCAGGTTAACTTTTGTTCTTTCCTGATTTGGTGTTTTATTTATAGTCTAATTGTAGGGTATACGTTGACGTGGAAGCGACACAAACACTTTTATCACGGATCGTTTCATTTTATGTCACTGTTTTGCAGAATGAAGACTCATATTCTTAAAAGTAAATGTATGTCTTTTTATTTTTCCCTTGATGCTCTCAGCATCACTGAAATAAAAGAAGCCCCGCACCCTTCATGCAGTTTGTAAACGTATTCAGCTTTCCGTACGCAGTGGGTTACTTTTCGTTTTATGTTCTAAGAGCCAGACCCATGGGGAGGCAGTGAGAACGTGGAGCGTGGCTTCCTTTCGAGCTCAGGAGAATAGATGTGGCCTCTGCCCGTTACTCTGGGGGAGCTGCCTCTGTGCACAGATGATGGCTTCGGGATGGCCATTTACTTGGGCGGCACCCAGAGAGACCTCCCTGGGCCCCCTGAGTTGCCCTGTGAGATGCCCACCCGTGCTCCTGAGGCCAGGACACCTCTCCAAGAGGGTGGGCGCTCACCCGGCTCCCAGCTTGAGAGCCCCTGGGACCTGTGGTGGGACAGGTGGCCATGTTCCAACAATGACCTCTAAGGACTGGTTTGTAAATGTTGTCCAGTCCTGTGATGAACCTGAAGCCTTAAATTTGGTTCTTGACAAGGTGCTGGAAAAGGAACAGAACATCCATGTTTGGAGAAGTCCAGTCCGTTGTCCAGCCGGCCGGCTTTGTTACAAGAACAGCCAGCGCTGGCTGGAATCACGGCAGAGTCATTCAGATATTTTCTGGATGCCCGGAGGCGCCGCTTCATTTCCGTCCTCTCTAGGGTCCCGTGTCGGCTTCACCATAGTTGTACAACGTGGTTGCCGGTGCGGAGTACTGGAACCGCGATGAGTGCTCACACGGCGCGTGGCCCGGCACGGCTCGTAGCGCAGAGACTTAGACGGCTGCTCACACTGGGTCACGCAGGGCGCACCGCTGAGAAACTGGGAACCTGACTCGGGCATCTTATCGTCACCAAATTACAACAACTGGAAGCTGTGTCTTCTTACTTCCGAACCTGTTCTAATTTATAGAAGACTGAAATTTCCATTGATTTCACACTGGCAAGGCGGGTGAGGACTTGGGTCATGATGTTGGAGGCGTCCGGTTTGAAAGAAGAAGTAATGTTACATGGTTACGTTGTTTCTGCTGCTTATCATGGACGGTAACTGAGGATTGGCTCTAATTTAAGTATTTTTATCTAAAGGTTAATTGTAAAACATGGTTTTTTTCTCTTTTGTCCTTTAAGGTCAAGAATGGCCCCACGTATAACTGTACCGAGTGCAGTTGTGTGTTTAAAAGCCTCGGGAGCTTGAACACCCACATCAGCAAGATGCACGTGGGCGGGGTGCAGAACCCTGCGGGCCCCGCGGAGACAGCTCACGTGCTAACGGTGCGTCTGGCCAGCGCCGTGCGGGGCCCCTGCCGCCGGATGGGTCATCTTGGTCGTGACCTTTCAGGGGGAATATTCCTTAGAATATGTAGCACCACAGACGTGCTGTGAGCATCTTCTTTAGGGTGAAAGGAGGAAGTAAGGGATTTACTTGTTTTTTTAATGAGCAAAGGAGAATTGATCTTTTTAAACTTCAGAATCGTATCAGCTGGTCCTGATGCATGGACTGTCATCGAGCCAGTGAAAATCACCCAAAATGCAATGATGAATTTAGGAGACTGTGCTGCCTGCGGTGCTGTTGATGATTCCTGTTGGATCATCGTTATCCCTGTGGGATGACTTAAGAATCAGTTATCCTTTCAAAATAACATTTCTTAAAAAAATAATATTTTCCCACGTCTGAGGGGACAGTAGGAATGTTTTCCTGAGGCCGTGCCCTTTTGGGAAACTACTCTGTGTAAATTGTGCGACACACACCGCCACGCTTGCGTTCAGGCTCTGGTGGGAGTCTCGAGTGCGGCCTTGTCTGTTCGCTCTCAGCCCCTCGCAGCTGGTGGGGAGGCCCGCATCCCGGCGCGGAGAGCGGGCGCCGCGTTAGCCCGCGCCCGAGAGCCGGCTGGCAGGTGGGTGTCTGGTGTCGTCGGCACCTGCCTCCCGCCGGTGCGGAAACTCGTGTTTAGTCTCAAGCACACGTTCGCGTTTGCGACTTGTGTTCTCCTTTCTCACGACAGTGGCAGCTTCACGTGGCTCCTCACCTTACTCCGGAGCAGCCCCCGTGCCGTAGATCCGCCCCGGGGGGTGGGTCCTGTGTCCACCTGCGTGCGTCACACGGTGCTGGCTCTGACTTGCACCATCTTTCCGAGTGGCACTTCAGACCCGGAGAGTCTGGGCGGTCAGAGCGCTTCTCTCCTTGGATGCTCTTGGCTGTGGCTTTCCCGAGCACTTATGCTACCGGGGCCCCTTTTTTCCAAGTTTCCTGAATTATGTTGGCCACAGTGGTTTCTCTCTTATTTGGGGACCCTTTTGTTTCTGTGTTTTACTGGACAGGAGGGAAGGTGAGGCCTGTGAGCTCGCACCCCCACGCTGGACTGGTCGTCTCTCCTGACACTCAGGAAGCCTTGAGACGTGCAGTGGGACAGTTCGTTCGATACCTTCCTTTAGGAACCCATGTTGTGCTTTGTGTAAAAGTCAGTGAGGCGTTTTATTTAAAATCTGTGTTTGGGATATTGTTAGATTTTAATGGTTGTAAGGAAGATGAGCCTGTTCCTTCCTTTCTGTTTTTGTTCTTTTAAATTGAAGTTCAAATGAATGTACTTCTTCCATTTTCAATGACCATGTCGCTGCGTTTCAGGCCACGCTGTTTCAGACGTTACCTCTCCAGCAGACGGAAGTCCACGTGACGTCTGCATCGAGCCAGCAGAACTCCCAGGCCGTGACCGACGTCATCCAGCAGCTGCTGGAGCTCTCAGAGCCGGGGCCAGCGGAGTCCAGCCAGCCCCCGCAGCCCGGCCAGCAGCTCAGCATCACCGTGGGCATCAACCAGGACATCCTGCAGGTGAGGCGCACCTTCCCGCTCTCTGTCCGTGCCCGAGCCTGGGTATCGTTCCTGGAAGACGAATAGGCAGGGCCTGTCCAAGCAAAGGAGTCGTCCTTAAATGCACGTCCCAGTTGAAAACGTTCTTTTCGAACAAAATATGCTCATGGACAGTGCAGAATTCTGAACAGTTAATCTATAAATTTAAAAAACAGTTTAAAACTTAATTTTCTCTCCAGCTGATTTAGTTGAAAAGAACAGGCTTTTCAGACTTGCGTGTATCTCCTGTCAGTGTTGGAGCGAGTCGGTCCACCTCTCTCAGCAGCATGCGAACGGGCCGCATCCACGTGGGAGAGGAGGAGAAGGAGACGGGGCAGGGCACGCTTCTCAGAGTTGCTCCGCTGGTCCAGCTTTAGCCTCCGCTCTTTGATTTGCAAACAGAGCCGGCCTGCCTTCTCCCCCGTTTAGTGATCAGTTGTAAAAACTAACCTGTCGCCTCCCTGTGCCTTTGGGGTAACAAGTTGGTGTAAGGAGTCTTGGGGTGCCTGGCAGCCGAGGTCGTAAGGGTGGTTGAGGCCACTGTAATTTAACACAGTTTGGTTTAGAGATAACCAAAGGGGTCTAAGGTCAGATTTCTAAATGTCAAGTTAATTAATTCCGATCCCTTTTCGTTACCATACTGTGTTTTGGGTGGACGTGAGCTGTCCGTTTCCAGAAGGGACATTTCGGCTTCAGAGAGTCGAAAAGTGTAGCTTGTACGTGGCAGTTGGCAGGGCCGAGTGGTGTGGCTAGTGGGGCGGAGTTAGAACCCTGGGCAGAGCCTTGTTGCGTCTTTGTAGTTGATTTTGGCAGGCTGCGCTGGGCCTCCCACCGCTAACCTGTTAGTTTTGTTCTGTCTCAGCAAGCCTTAGAAAACAGTGGGCTGTCTTCAATTCCAGCTGCCGCGCACGCTCACGACACCAGCCACGCCAGGACGCCCTCCACGCAGGTGCCAAGTCTGGACGCTCCTCACCCTCCGAGTGAGCAGACCCACCCCACAGATGCAGAGCAGGAAAAAGAGCAAGAAAGCCCAGAGAAGTTGGATAAAAAAGAAAAAAAAATCATAAAGAAGAAATCACCGTTTCTACCTGGTAATGTGGATGTGCTTTAAGGATTAGACATTTGGGGGGGGGGCGGGTTTGTTGCTTATTTTTTCTTTCGAAGGCGATACGTTTGTTGACTGTTCTGATAGTATCGACATTTGTTTGATAGTTGAAAACCTCAGCAGTTGCAAACTTTGGGCTGCCTTTTTCCCCTGTGAGCGGCGTCTCTTCCTGACAGTTCCCCAGGCTTATTCCTGGGTCGTCTTGGCCGCTCCTTCCCGCAGCTGCGTTCTGGCCACTTTTGTCCCCTGCTTTGCCACCGCACTGCCATCTCCTGACTTGTAAGCATGGCTCCTGGGTCAGACCCTCGGCCGTTTCCCCTCAACACTCCCCTCTGGCTCCGCGGTGTCTGTGAGCTCTCGGTAACCTGGCCCGGGTGCACGGCCAGGCCTGCCCTGGACTTCGGGGTGCAAGCTGACGTCACGGTGTGGCCCGGATCCCGCGCTGTCTGGACAGGCATGCACGTCCAGGGCCATCCTTCCCACAGGCTTTCTGTGCCGGGAGTGTGTTCTTCCTCCCCTTCCTCCCGCTGTCTCGGAGAGCTCTGGTGGCCACTGAGGGCACCCTTAGAGGACACTCGGGCTTGCCCTTTCTCCTCTCAGCGCTCGCAGCACTCGCAGTGTTTCTGCCCCGCAGGCCCCCGCCTGGACCGCTGTCTGCCTGGATATAGTCTCTTCGTCTCTGGCTCCCCTGTGGGCTGACGCGTGTGGCTCTCACACGGGGCCGGGCCTCACTACATCTTCCCCGAATGCGATCGGTTTCTGGCTTTTGGGCAACAGTGTCCTCTGGAAGTGTTTTCTCAGCGACTCTGACCGTTCTGCTTCCCCCAGGTCTCGGGGAGCGAGTGCCGTTGTGCTGCGAGGCATGGCACGACCAACGCTGTCATCGCCGCGGACACTCCTGAGCGCGTCTCCTTGCAGCGCTGACGTGTCTGTGAGACCCTTGTCTCTACCACAGACCATGGCAGTTCTGCTCCCCTTGTCCCCTCGATCTGCCCCCCGTCCCAGGGGAAGCACGGGGGCATGGGATTGAAGCGGTTTATCCTCTGGTTGTTCCCGGTGTCCGGAGAGGAAGGGAGGGGAAGGGCACCCCTCCCACATGTGTCTGTCCACTCTCTGAAGCCTCCTGGCCGAGAGCTTATCTCGCCATGGTTTTGAATACCTGCCTCACGTGCGCCCAGTAAGTACGTGGGAACTTCCAGCCTGGGGGGTGCGTGGCTGCGGCCCTAGTCACTGGGCTCGAACCCTCGAAGGCGCTCCGACCAGGCTGTGGGCGGCTCAGGCTTCTCCCGGCGGGAGGCGGAATCCCGAGCAGCAGGGGCCCCCGGGTGGAGGATGGCGCGCTCCATCCTGAGTGTTCGGTGTGGGCTTCAGAGTGGGGTTACCGTCCACGTACGCGGGGTTTGCCTGGGGCGCGCTCTGCCTGCAGAGTGTGCAGAGGTCACGGCCGTTCGTTGTGGAGCCGACTGAGTCCGTGAAACACACCACGCGCTACTGAGCTCGTTTATGCAGCTCGGCTGGATTCCAGACCTGCTGCGGTCTCCAGGACGAGTTCAGAGTCAGCATTTTCTGTCTGTGATCCCTCACGAGACGGTTCCTGGGGCCGCGTTTCTATAGAAAGAGATTTCTAATGATGAAAACTTCTCAGGGAGCTGGACACATTTATGTAGGGACTGTTTCTGGAACTCGCGGTGCGAGGGGGGCCGAGGGCTATCGGGTACCCCGAGGAGACCATGAGCACAGCCTCTTCGAAGCGGCTTCTGATTCCCCTTGATTGTGTGTCCCCGCTTGTGCGCCCCGTGCCGCTGGCGCCGTCACCACTCGGCTGACGTAGTTCAGTGAAAGGGAGGGTTTTTAGTAGACTTTGGTTTCTTATTTCAAGAGGTATTTTCCGTATGCATTCAAAATTTAACAAATGCTTTTATATTTTCCATATAACTTAGGACACATAGATCATCTTTAAAACTAAACAAAGTTTGAAATTTATTGTGTGAAATATTGGCTCTTTGAAGTCACAGAGAAAGGTGTTTCGGAAAGCTGGTGACTTCCTCCTTTAAGGATGACAATGGTATAGCTGTTCTCTGTGGAAATCTTTCTTCAGACCACAGAGATTTTACCTTCTTAGACCAGACTGTGACGGGGAAAATGTAGCCCGAACGTGACTCCCGTTCTGCCATGAGAGGCCGGCATCCTCGTGGCCCGCTGCGGCCCGTGGCCCTTCCGGTCAGTGCCCTTGGAAGCGGTGCTCACTGCGCCTCGAGTGTTGGCTCCAGGTCTCTGTACCTGCCCTGCTCCTGCTTTCTTACTCTGCTGCAGGTGACCTCGATGTTTCTGGGGCTCTGGTCAGTCATGACCTTAATCACTGCCAAAGAATTAAGTATAAAGTCATTCTTGGTAAGAACCTTAGCAAACATTGTACTTTTTCTAAAACTAACATGCATGAACACTCTGGGATTTTTAGGTCTACTTTGAATAATTCAAGAGACTGATACTTTCTTTTCAGTCCTGCTTTCTTCCTCTTTGGAGGATGTGTGTTATGAATAAAGAGTTTCTGTATTCATAGTTCAGCTAAATTACTTGTTACTTTGTATTATGCTTTTGTATAATACAGTATAGAAAACTTTAAGAGGACTCATTCATGTGAGTGTAGTTGGATTAAGTTTGAAAATTCCATGGTTTATCTCATTTGTGTATAATTCTTTCATTGTAAAATATTCAGAGCTTATGAGATTTTCTTTAGGTTTTGTTTTGAATTATTTGTCATTTATAATTAAATATACATATAATTTTTACTTAAGACCTTTAATTTTTTTTAATGGTAATGTGGCCTGAAGCTGAGTCCCCATTCGTACTAAATATAACGCAGTGCGGGTATGAAGTGCGAGGAAGACGGCCAGCTCCGAGGTGCTGGTGGTCCGCACGCGGGCCAGGCGCAGCAGAGACAGCAGTGAGCGGCCACAGAGGCCTATTATTAGTGGAAGATGTGCCCTGAGTTTCGAGGTAGGAGACATCCGCGGGCCACAGTGAGAGGGTAAGAGCTCTGCTGAGCTGGAAGGGGGAGAGCCCAGTGCTCCCGGAAACGGAGGGACGCACAGGAGTGTTCCGTGAGAGACGCGCGGTGGAGAGCCTTCCGCTCCGAGGGCCATTGTGACGGTTTCATTTTGTGTGTTTTTCTGTATTAACAATTGTTTTACACACTCCTAGTATTCAATACGGTTGATACATCGCTAACATTTTCTGCAAATGGAACGATAAGGGTGTATTTGGTTGTAGTCACACACACAGAACTCCACCACGCAGGGCCCGAGAGCACGACCGAGGTGCTCCTGTCACCCGTCTGAGCCTTTGGGAGGGTCCTGGGGGGTCCCGGACTGTCTCCACGGAGATCCTGGCTTTTCTTGACTGATGGGTTGAACTTCTGTATACGGTCTGGATTTTCGTTGTCGATTTGTGTATTTCAAATACCTTTTCCGGAAGTAGCTTCTCTCTTCACTCGTTAAGATGTCTTTGATGAGTAGGTGAATAGAGATTTTTGCTTCCGTGCGGTTGTCTTGATGCTCTGAGTGTTTTGTGTGACAATCTTTCTAAAGGTCAGGAGGATTTTACCTTCTTAGACCTTCGTTAACTTAGCCTTTTCTCGATGACTCAGAATCATCATCTCATGATTGTGCTGTGCCCTGGCTGCCTTGTGTCCTCCTCCTTCAGTCTTTTCTTTATAGTTCGTGTGTTCTGTGTTCGTGTAGGAAGGTTTTCCTTTACCCACTTTGAATTCTCCCGTTTGTTTTTTTAAGTAAGTGACGGAACTTGAACTCACAATCCTGAGATCAAGACCCGAGCTGAGTTGCTTAAGCGACAGCCCCCCAGGTGCCCCCGAATTCCCCCATATGTTCTAACAGAAGTGTTAGAACCTTAGCTTTACATTCAGTTCATTAGTTTATTTGGACTTTATTTTTATGCATAAGAGGTGGGATTGGAATCTTATTTATCCCTGGGTGCTAACTAGTCGTCTGGCAGCACGTTGTGGAAAGTCTGTGTCTTTGATACGTGAAACCAGGTTTGTGGAGATCTGGTTTTTGTCTCCATGTGTGGCTAAGCTCTGGGTTTGTAATTGTGCCCACTCGTCTGTCTGTGCGGATACCCATACGCTGTCTCTGTTATTTACAATAGCTCTTGAAATCAGCAAGGTGGGTCTTTATTTTTCATTCTCTTTCAGATTATCTTGGTCTTGGTTGGACGAAGTTGGTTTCTATAAAATACAGCGTTTTTATGTCCATGAACATATTTCTCTTCCTGCTGGTGTCTCTTGTTACGTAAAGCTCTTGCAAGTCTTCTCAGACTTATTCTTTTATCTTATCATTTTGTCTGTAAGCTCCTTGTATGTTGCAGGTTTTGTTTGCTGTAGGTATATAGGAAGATAATTGGCTCCGTAGACTGATCATGAATCTAGCAACCAATGAATTTCTGTTGTTAATTGTAGCCGTTTGGAGATTACGTTGGCTTTTCCACGTAGATACTAGATTGTTTATGAATAATGACATTTTTCCTCTTCTTGGCACATTGGTGTGGACCTCTGCCTGTGCTGTGGAGAGTGGTCCGCTGCCGTCCCGACTCTGGGGACGGTTCTAAAGTTTCACGGTGGAAACACGTTACTCTTGGCTTTTCACAGAAGCTCTCGGATTTGGGAGGCTGCCTTCCTTGCTGGTTTGCTTAGGCTTTTTGTTTTCTTCCTCATGTTGAATATTATCAAGTGCCTTTTCTTTTGCTATGATCATATGTTTTTCTCTTTTAACCTCTGAGGGGGTAAATCACAGTGATTGATGGATTAATGGCGAGCACGCCGTGTCTTCATTCCCAGCCTCCATGTTGCTCTGGCTTTTCTCTCTTCCCCTTCCCTCTCCTTCTCTTTTTCCCTTTTTTTTTTTCTTTAAGACACATTTTTAAATTTGCTTGGCCAATATTCTTTTTTTCAATTTTACTTAATAAAATACA